TTTGTTAATATGTTTGCAGTTGTGATCAACGAGTCTTGTCAGTGCCCTGCTGCCTGAGCTTCCTCATTTCTCCTCTTCTTCCTGACCTGCCCGTCCTGTAACCCCCTCTCTTCTACCCAACCCAACTGGCCTCTTACATCTCAGCTCCAGTACCTACTACAGGGTCTTCCTGAGTAGGTTCATATGGACTTGGTGATTTTGCCAAGTAACAGAATTTAATGATGATTTCGTTTTTATTTAATTCTGGTGATACTAAGGACAATGAGTCTCCCCCAGGCCTCTATAAGTTACTCGAGTGAAAGATACAATCCAGTTCGCCCATAAAAAAGATGGTGTCTTAAAACAAAACAAAAAACAGGAAGAACAGGACATGTGGGGAAAAGGGAAATCTGAGCAGCAGAAGAGCTGGTCAGACGCTGATAGATAGCACAGCCCTAAGAAACGACAGACAGGGCCAGACCCACAGCAAGGGCTGGTGTGACTGTCAGCCTCACCCATGGCGCTGCTGATCACAGGCTCGCAGTGCTGTTTCCTCACCAGCCCTTGTCCTCCTGCTCATGGCAGTACCCCAGCCGATGGACAACTTCTTGGTTTTTCACCCTCCCTCCAGCCCGGTCCCTTAATAGTCTGGCACCCCATGGCGGGTTCAGTGGAGACCCTTTCTTAAGACCATAGTCTGCTTTGTTACTGTGTGTTTCCATGTGGTAGTGGTGGCTGATTCTCAGCATGGTATGCCCGTCAGGGTCTGGGCTGTGTTACACTTCATTGCCTCCATATATCATTCACTAGGGATTTGGGTTGTACTATTTTACGATTTGGAATTTAAAAGCTTATTACTCCAGTTTCGGGTCTGCATCAACTTGGTGCTGATACTATTGACGTTATAATGAGTTAGAAGGAAACATTTTAATTCATCATAAATATTTTAATTCAAAATATTAGTAGGTCATAATAATAATGTCTGTGAAACATAAAAATAAAGTATTAGCTAGAGCATCTAGTTGCTCCAGCTGATTTCTTTTTTATAACTTAACCCTCTAATAGACTAGAAACTCAAGAAAGAATCATGGTTGTAATATTAAATAAGTGCTCAATTTTAAGTAAAAAGCATTTTGTATTTGTTACCATAGCTACACACAGCCTTCCTGTGGTTCTACAGACAGTGTCTCCATGATTCGGAGTAATACTAAGCATTGTTTTTGTGGGAAAGCAGAGGAAGGGATGGAGAGAAGAGCCCCCTCCCCCTCCCCCCACAAGGAGGAGACAGCTGGCTGTCTTGCATCTGAGCTTTAGAGTCCCCCACTGTGTTCCCTGTGTTTGCGAGTGGGAATTTTCTTTCAGCTGAGAAGTTTTTTAGCTGGATATCAGCTTGTATATAAATTCTGGAAGTCTAATTTACATGAGCTGCTGTTGTATTTCTGTAGTATTTTTTAAGTGTAAGCAAATATGGGATATTTTCTGTATTTATTAGCCCCAGTTCTGTCTCAAAGAAATGAAATCAAGCAGATAAGGATGAGGCCAACTTTTAAGATCCAAAGAAGCCGGAAGTGGCCGTTTCTGTTCAGGAAGGACAAAACGTGTCCACTTCTGGACACGGGTCTCATCCGAATTTGCACATTATGCAGTATGCAGTCAAGTGGGGCCACATTTGATCCCAGGCTGAATTTTGCTGCGTGGTTTTCTCTGGAGACCAGCAGGGTTGGGTCACTCTGAGTGACTGCACAGCGGTTAGAAGCAACTGCATGATTTGCGAGAATTGGATGGCAGGGTTGGAGGGGATGAGTCGCAGGGTAGCAGGGTGAGAAATATAGACAGAAAAGCTAGAGAGCACTGATGATTGGCCATAGAAGGCTAGAGAAATCTCTAGAACCTTCCCAGACATCTCAAGTCAAGATGAAAGGTAAAGGCGGTGTGTCAGTTTGTGGGAAGTCGAATGCTTTTTTGACCACTGTGGTCTATCTTGGCTGCTGCTCCCCCTGACCCCACGCATGGGTTGTCTCCTTCCTTCCTCAGAAGTGCTCAGCCCGGAGCCAGGGGCCACAGTCCTTAGCCTCTCTTTCCTGTGACTGTACGCCTCCAGACCTTTGGACACAATTGAGTGTCTTGTAAAGTCCTACAGGGTGTTCCTGCCACTAAAGTAAGAAAATGGTTATAAGAGCACAATTGAAAAAACTTACTCAATTTGAAAATAACACTGCTCTTAATCGCTGTTATGACTGCTGGTCCACCTCCACTGAAATGGTCTGCAGGCCAATGACAGTTAGGGCCTGAGAGACCACGCCATGGCAGTTCTCACTGCTACCTAGAACATTCTAAGCTCATGCCAGCCCACACCACCCCTGCTGCCAAAGAGCTGCCCTTGCCCCCAGCTGGAGTAGCTGTAGAGAAGGAGAGACGTTTGAGGGGAGATGAGTGGATTCACAGAGAAGGCCAGCGCAGCAGAGCCACGTGCAGATGCGGCGCCAACGAGGCTGCAGCCCACACATCTGCACTTCACATCTAGAATCCCTCCACTCTTACACAAACACTTCTCCCATCACCATCTGGCACACCCCATTGTTAAGGAGTTACGTAGCTTCAAGGATTTTGAAAAGGAGCAGTCCAGCTGGCAGTGTGATCACTGTGTCTCCGTCAGCCTTTGGGGAGTCTGTACAGTGTGATCACCGTGTCTCCATCGCCTTTGGGGAGTCTGTACAGTGTGATCACTGTGTCTCCGTCAGCCTTTGGGGAGTCTGTACAGTGTGATCACCGTGTCTCCATCAGCCTTTGAGGAGTCTGTACAGTGTGATCACTGTGTCTCCATCAGCCTTTGGGGAGTCTGTACAGTGTGATCACCGTGTCTCCATCGCCTTTGGGGAGTCTGTACAGTGTGATCACCGTGTCTCCATCAGCCTTTGAGGAGTCTGTACAGTGTGATCACCGTGTCTCCATCAGCCTTTGAGGAGTCTGTACAGTGTGATCACTGTGTCTCCATCAGCCTTTGGGGAGTCTGTACGGTGTGATCACCGTGTCTCCGTCAGCCTTTGGGGAGTCTGTACGGTGTGATCACCGTGTCTCCGTCAGCCTTTGGGGAGTCTGTACAGTGTGATCACCGTGTCTCCGTCAGCTCTGGGGAGTCTGTACAGTGTGATCACCGTGTCTCCGTCAGCCTTTGGGGAGTCTGTACGGTGTGATCACCGTGTCTCCGTCAGCCTTTGGGGAGTCTGTACGGTGTGATCACCGTGTCTCCATCGCCTTTGGGGAGTCTGTACAGTGTGATCACCGTGTCTCCGTCAGCCTTTGGGGAGTCTGTACAGTGTGATCACCGTGTCTCCGTCAGCCTTTGGGGAGTCTGTACGGTGTGATCACCGTGTCTCCATCGCCTTTGGGGAGTCTGTACAGTGTGATCACCGTGTCTCCATCGCCTTTGGGGAGTCTGTACGGTGTGATCACCGTGTCTCCATCGCCTTTGGGGAGTCTGTACGGTGTGATCACCGTGTCTCCATCGCCTTTGGGGAGTCTGTACAGTGTGATCACTGTGTCTCCATCGCCTTTGGGGAGTCTGTACGGTGTGATCACCGCCTTTGGGGAGTCTGTACGGTGTGATCACCGTGTCTCCGTCAGCCTTTGGGGAGTCTGTACGGTGTGATCACCGTGTCTCCGTCAGCCTTGAGGGAGCACGCGTGAGTCCAGGAATCCCTGCAGACATCTGCTTTGGCCAAAGTCTCTGTCAGCCTGTGTGCATGCACATTGTAACTGTTCTGACTCAGTTTCTCTCATCTTTCAGTATTTTCTCTTGTGCTTCTCAAGAATGTATTCATTATAAACACATTCATAATGCATACATTCTTAGAATGTACTTGTGGAATAAGGAAGAATGTCATCTCTAACTAGATAAATATGCCCGAACAGTTTTTTCTTGTATTAAAGACTCTCAACAGCTAGGAACAGCTTAAAATCTGTCAAACATGAACATTTTTGGTAGTTTCCCTTTTGTTTTGATCCTGCCCGGGCCTCCTGGGGATGCCATGGGAAAGTCCTGGTGCTATGTGAACTGTGCACATGACCAGCCCTGCTGCGTATCAGTGTCTGTACCCCAAATAGTCAGTATCCTAATGATTCCCTTCCTGGGGAGTTCAGAACCAGGGGTTTCTGGGCACCGTCTGCCTCCACTGAAGCCCCACCTTACAGCAGACCTGCCGCCACCGCTTACTTTTCACTAATAGAACTGTCCTGATATTGTCTATTATTTATTTACCTGTTAGCTTTAATGCTTTGGAATTTAATGATTTGGAATTTTTTTTGTTGTTGTCAGTCGTGGGGCCTGAACTCTGGGCCTGGGCGCTGTCCCTCAGCTCTTCAGCTCAAGGCTAGCGCTCTACCATTTGAGGCACAACGCCACTTCTGGCTTTTCTACTTCTGTGGTACTGAGGAATTGAACCCAGGGCCTCGTGCATGCAAGGCAAGCACTCTACCACTGAGCCACCTTCCCAGTCCTTGGATGGAATTTTAAAAAGCCATTGTAAGACTGTATGTTAAAATTAAGTGATCGCACTAGTTTTTAATGTTTAAAACTATGGATCATAAAGTAACACATGAGCATAGTCTCAATGCTTACAAAATACAAACATTGCAACTTTTAATGCAATAATAAATAGTTGAAATTTTATGGTACACTCAGCCATCTCAACTCTATTCCAAAAGGAAGTGTTTGTAAATTTATTCTTTAATCTTCTTGTCTTAAAATCATTTCAATATACCATTGCAAAAAAAAAAAATTAAGTGATGGTTAGGTCTGGTGGGTGTCAGTATAGAAACAATGGAGTTGGCAGGCATTTCTGAGTCATTCAATCCAAAGGTAGTGTCTTGCATGGCCAAAGAGGAAGTATACGGGGAAAGATTTGCGTACGACACTGCTCTCGGAACCTTGCGCCCCTGCAGTTGTCAGAGGAATTCTCAGAGGTGAATTGATTCGTCAGGGTCTTGGGCCACCCAGTGACTCATGTTTGCTTGCCATCAAGGTAGACGTGGGAGTGGTGCACTTCACACCCTTGATCCAGCCCAAGATTCAGCAGCCTTTCAAGATGGTGGAAAAGGTTGTTAAGAATGCGTTTCAGTTCAGAAGGAAATACTGTTATCGAGGACTTGGGTAAGAATCTCTCTGCTCTTTCTTGCTTTTTGACTCTCTTAAAGGCATATGTGATTGGTGCTTAGTTTGATCCACTGATAAGCAAAATTCGGTCACCACAAAGGGCTGTTTGATCCCAGGTACAACCTGAAACTGACAGTTGCACAGGATGACCTGAACTTTGTTTCTTTCTTCATTTATAGTTTTTGAGCCCTGTCTGTACTGAAGGTGGTTACTGAAATGAATGGAGCCCATTACTCACCTGGACCCGTACTCTAGACATGCTCCAGCAAGCTCCAGGCCCAGACCATTGCTCTAGACACATTCCAGCAAGCTCCAGGCCCAGACCATTGGTCTAGACATGCTCCAGCAAGCCCTAGGCCCAGACCAGTTTATTCCAGGATTTCTAAAAGTAGGACACACTTTCTATGATTTCCCCCCATGGATCAGGGCTATTATAATTACATGAGTTATGCTTTCACATGAAAGTCAACCCGTGGTGTATGAGAGTTGCTATCCTGCAGCTGAAATCATCAGGAAGAATCTGGCCTATGGACCGTCATGGTCTCACGACAGCCAGCGTCTGTCCAGCAGTTTCGGGTGCTGAGCAGGGCTGCAGTGTCGCTGGCGGTCCAGGCTGTCTGCCTGTATTAATAACTCTGTATGTCTGGAGAATTTTGTTCATAAATATCCAAATGGCTCTTGGTAGAGAAAAAGTTTTCTGCCCTTGTGCTAAATAAATAGGGCACAGATGTCATAAAGACTTAGAACTGAAAGTAACTGTCCAGAAGCCTTAGAAATGACAAATCTGTGTCTGCCAAGCTGAGTCCTCCGTGTGGCTCAGTGCCCACTGCAGCAGGTAGGGATCTCCGTGTGCACACCTGCAAGTGGGGCCTCACTGGAGGTTCTCCAAGCTTACCGGTGGTAACCGCCGCATGGCCACCGCAGGGCCGGTCGGTTCTCCAGGGCACTGAGGTCCCCGCGTGGAGCAGCAGGCAGGCACAGAGGCACGCCCACCAAGCGCACGTGTGCTTGCAGGGTTCCTCTGTCCCAGAGTTTGGTTGCCCAAAAGTTGGATTTGCTTCCTGGTTCTCAAGCATGTCCTTAAACAGAGGGCAACTCGATACAAACACCACGAAACCCTCTCATATCTGCGCAAGCGCTGATGGCGAGCTCACAGCCTCTCCAGTCCAGGTCAGCGCTGGCTGTGTAGATGTCCATTTTAGATTGTACCTGTGACCAAACAAAACCAAAACGTAGGCCGAGTCCAAGGTGAAATGGATCCCAGGTAATAAGAACCGTCACCAGATCCTCTTTGCCACAGAAGTGGACCGTGTACTCTGACAGTAGGGGGGCATGGGAGCACCACCGCCCGGGAAGAAAACCCCAGAGCTGCCATGCCTGCCATGCTGCCTTTCAGCTAGCCCTGCAGAGGCTGAGTGCGAGAGAGTACAAAGTCCAGGTGGACGTCACCGTGGTTCAGGCAGTCCAGTGTTTGAAAATAGTGCCGGTAGGTGAAATGTAAAGGATATACTTCAAACCACTTTTATAGATGTTTCAAAACTATCTTCAAGCCGGGTGCCAGTGGCTTACCCCTGTAATCCTTGCTACTCAGGAGGCTGAAATCTAAGGATCACAGTTTGGAGCCAGCCTGGGCAGACACATGTGAGAGACTCATCTCCAGTTAACCAACTAAAGGCCAGAAGTGGAGATGCAGAGGCAGAGTGCCAGCCTTGAGTGGAAAATGCAGAGGAACAGCACTCAGACCCTGAGGTCAAGCCCAGTACCAGCACCAAAAGAAAAACAAAATTTCAGCAATTGTGTAACTTTGGAAAACAGCTCACCCTAAAAGAGTGAATACTGTATCCAAAGATGGACACATTGAAATTACAGAGCATCAAATTTCTGTGCCTTGAGAAGTAACATAGGGGCTGGGAAGGTGGCTCAGTGGTAGAGTGCTTGCCTCACATGCATGAGGCCCTGGGTTCAATTCCTCAGCACCACATAAGCAGAAAAAGCTGGAAGTGGCGCTGTGGCTCAAGTGGTAGAGCGCTCACCTTGAGCTGAAGAGCTGAGGGACAGCGCCCAGGCCTAGAGTTCAGGCCCCACGACTGACAAAAAAAAAAAAAAAAAAAGTAATATAGACAACTTCCATCAGCATACAAGCAAATGAACACACGCAGCTGAGCAGACATCACCCTTTAAAGGTGTCTTGATTTAGCCTTGGAAAAATTCTTCCTCGTGTGGACCCCTGCAGGGCACGTGATATCTGCCTCTTGTAGGTCGTTTGGGTGCTCAAGGCACCCGGGAGGCTTCAGTGGGCCTCTGCCACGCCCTCGGGGTATCAGTTACCTGGAACCCTGTCATTTTCAAGGAAGTGACAGGGCATTGTGGTTGTCCTGATTTTTTTTTTTTTTCAATTCCTCAGAATGTTATTCCCTGAAGCTCAGCGCCTGGAAAGCACTGGAAGGCTGCTGCAGCTGGCGGACATAGACCCGACTCTTCGGCCCACCCAGCTCTCAGTGTTACACTTTAAGAGCCTCTGTGACATATACAGAATGATGTGCGATGAAGACCCTCAGCTCTTTGCTTATAATTTCAGAGAAGAACTTAGGCAAAAGAAGCGGAAAACTGTGGAGAAAGAGGAGGAGGAGGAGGAGGAGAGTTACAGATGCTAGCTGCTCCCTGACACACTGATTGCTAGTATGGAGCATTGTACAGGGGGATTTGTCTGTCTACAGAATGATAATAAATACCAGTGACCAGATGACTTACGTTCCTTTTACTATACAGCTTGGTAGAGAAAATAAATATCAAGTAAGGTACAGTACAAGCTTTCTTTTAATATATACTGCATAGGTATGACACGTTTAGTATAAACAGCATCTGTTACAACTTCCAATGAGATATCTGCACATTGTGCCCCTAAACCACATTAAAATAACTTAAATATGCTTTAAATAAAGCAAAATCTGAACAGCTCAATGAAAATGCCCAGAGGATTGGAAAAAGTGACTCTTGAAAAGCAGTTCATCACAACTTTCCCAACTTTACCTTTGCCACATAACTTATAATAATTATAATGCAAATTTTAAGGATTCTAAATCATTTTGATACCTGCTCAAAAGGGATATAAGCTAAGTAATTTACAGATTCTGACCAGTTTAATCTAGTTTTCTGATCCACAATAAATTAAAATAACTTAAATCTTTACAGTGATTTTGTGGGGAAATGTGTACTGCACAAAATCCAATAATGTCGTTTTTCTGCAATTTCCACTTTGCCACCAGTTTGGACGTCAGTGAGCCGCGCAGCCACCTCAGGTGCTGGACTATGAGGAGCCCTGGCTCTGTGCTTCATAAAAACACTCCTCGTTCACAACCGAAGTTAAACTCTGGACACTGAATTCTCTCTCTAAAACCAGATTTAGATCCATGTTGGCACTTTCAGGTTGACTGTCAAGAGACTGGTAACGTGTCTGTACCTTCAGCAGTGGCCCTCTGTCCCTCCTGGTGCTGTTTGCCTTCCGTTTAATGGGGCAGAAGTGGGCCCGGACCAGCTTGGGCTGTTCCCCTCCCTGCTGGCCCTCGCCCGCGCCGGTGACAGACTGCGGCCCCGCCGGCTGTGTGTCGTCCTCCTCAGAGATTCTCAGTCTCTGGAACTGGATCTCGATGTCCTTGGTGGGGCTGCCTTCTTTCAGAGAGTGGTGAGAGTCCTCGTCCTCGTCGCTCAGAATGTCACTCTCCTTGATGAGCCCGTCGGGGAGCTCGGCCAGGCTGGCATGGGGCTCCCTCTCGGGCGCCGGGCTCTTGCAGTCTTGCCTGCTGTCGGCCACCAGGCAGCCGCTGCTCTGGGTGCCGCTGCTCAGGCTGCCCTCGTCGGAGTCCAGCGAGTGGCCCTTGCTGGGCTCACTGGGCCACTCACCACCGGAGGACGTCCTGAGTCCTTTCAAAGACCTGGACGAGGCTGCAGAGACAGAAGCAGTGCACAGGTAGAGATGGCTTAATTACCACTGAGGTTCTCTTATTATCTGAACTCCATTACCTTTAGCCTGCAGTCAGACAAAAAACAGAGATCCCGCAAGCATGGAAGTTTTACTTGTGTCTATTTGAAATTGTAAGTTGAGGGCTTGGAATGATGGCTCAGGTAGCAGCAGAGCACAAGCCGGTAAGCAAAAGTATCAGACACTGAGTTCAAGTCCCAGACTTGGACAAAAAAGTAAGAAAGAAAAAAGAAATTGTAAGTTGGAGGACTTCAGCAGTTTTAGGTGACCAGAGCTTCATTATTTAAGTAGAACAATAAGCTGTCGATTACACTAAGGGCTAGAATTCTTATTTTTGCCAATGACTGCCTTGAAACTCTAATCACTAATGAAACCTAGGTTTTGCACTTGTACTGAAGTACTTTGGGATCTCATAATCAAGATGATACTACATCTCTGAGTGTATTTTTTCCTTTATTTCCTTTGCAGCTCCACTAAAAGTTCCCTATCTCATTAGAGTTGTCTCTGCTGACATTTCTAGCCATTTGTACTTTGAGTATTATGTGTACTTAATCATTTGTGGGTTTAATTGTGTTCTCTTGGGGAAAGGGGGCTTAGTTGGAATGTTTCCATAGGTAGGCAACAGAGCATTTAGGTTTTGGTGGCCGTAGCATATTCTGACATTGGAGAAAAATAGGAAGTTTACAGTAAGTCCACATCAGACTGATGAGGAACAAAAAGTGAAGTTATGCATTTTGTAAAACAGCTAAGTCAGAAGGTTCTAGAAACACTTTTAATTTTTAGAAACACTCAGTGTTTAAGAACAGTGTTACCTGGAATGGATTACCTGCCCACTTATTGAGTGGTAAGAATGAAATACTAATTTCTTGACCTCAACTCATTAAGAATTCACTGTGTAGATGCCTAGTTCTAGGAAGTGTAGGAGCTACAGTGAGCCAAACAGAGACCCTGGCTCACATTCATCTCAATGGAAGGAAAGACAGGCTAGTGAGACTGGACCTGGCTGGCTGGCATCGGACAAGGGAGGTGGGCGTGTTCTTCTCAAAGGATATCTGTGAGCAAGGGGCATTGCTTAGGTCTCTAGAAGGAGGTCTGACAAAGTAACTTATAGCTGTATCCCAAGAACACCTATCTTCTGAGGGAATCTTTTCTTGAGCTCCGAGCTAGCAGAATTCTCACCTAGTTTGGCTGAGACGGGAACTCTGTTCTTCAGAGGTACCAGGCGATCCTTACATGTCTTCTCCAGCGGTAACTCGCACTTGATGTGACGCCTGAAGTTCTCCCTCAGAATCGAACGAATCACCTTCACGATGCTGGTTTTGCTCTCACTGTCACTGGGGGTAGAGAATAAGCAGTGAAGTGTGCAGGGGGTCTGGCTGGCTTCATTCTAGGCCCTGGGATTGTTCCTGAGGCCCAGTCCTGGCCAGCACTTCCCTGCACCCTCAGGCTAGATCCACAGCAAGCCACGCACCTGGACTGGCTTGCCTGGCTGACAAAAGGTGGTGAGAGCTGATTATTCTAAGATTGCAATATAAACAGCTGACCACTGTCATCTTCTACTAGACTCGCGGTTGCCTTTTGTAAAGGCGTAACTGTCATGATTTCCATTGGTTTTATTTTTTGGAAGTCAGGATACCTGCAACACAGTTGAAAGATTGTTTCTGGCCGGCCTTCTCTTTCTGACTTTGTATGGATCAGCTCCCATATGGAGTTATTTTCTGTTCCTGCATCAAAGGAAATGGAAACAAGAAAAAATTATAATTGTGCTAAAATACTCTGGTTAAGACCACTTGAAAGGACTACTTTGCAACTGTGGTCACCTAGATACTTTGTAAGAGAGATGAGCGCTGACTAACACGCCAACCCCTTCCAACCTCTTCATGCCCCAACTCAAGTCTCCTAAGACACTTACTCTGGCATGCATGCACTACCCAAAACAACAAAGCTGTTACCTGCTGTGTTCCCCAGTCTGACTTGAAGAGCAGATATAGGGATCAGCCAGCGGAATTTAAACGGGTCCAAGTCAGCAGAGCTATGCGCAGGTCGGGAATTTGAGGGCTGCAAAGACAAAGTCCAGCAGGAAAAGGGTTAAGGAAGCTGTCAGCCAGGGCCGAAGGTGAGCATAGGGAACAGAAGCCTCAAGCTCTCCCAGGGCAGCTCCTGTCCAGAGGTGGCATCGCAGGAGTCCATGGCTTCCCTCTCCTTGGATGAGGCGACTTCAAATGCGTGACTCATTGGTCCCCTCGGAAGAAGCACCGCAGTCAGGAAGGCCATGGCACCAAGCGCACTTTTGAGTTACAGTACAGGGAGACAGGGCGTGAAAAGGTAGCTTTAATTAAACGTAATTTGTGTCTTACCAATTTCTTTTTCAGTTTGCAGTTTTCTTTATAGACCAGTATGACAGCTCTCTTAAAAACTAAAGAAAAGAGAAAAGCCTTTTGTTATTTCATACAAACTCTTTTCCAAGGCTAAAAGTAAAGCTGAATGTTTTACTTGAACAAAGCTCTTCAAGTTTATGACCCTGGAAAGGCCCCACTTTGCCAACACTGCGTGAGTAGCAGCTCCACCTTCTGCTTGTTTAAAAGCCATTATCTGAAGTGGGACCCAACATGCCTCCATTCTTCACTTGCAGAAGCTGAGGACGCCAGTTCACCTCAGAGACGATACGTAGCTATTCGCACTTGCTCTCCCAGCTCCCAGTGACAGTTCAGACATGTTGAAATACAGCGGAGTCTTAAGAGAGCAAGCTTTGAAATTGCCTGGGGAGATCTGTGCCCGTAACTCCTGGCCTCAGCAGCAGAAGAGAGCAGATGATGAGCTTAACTAGCTGGAGGCTGGCTGTGTGGAGCCACCACAGTGAGTGTCCTAACTCCTGAAAATTGGGACCCGGCTGCAGCGGGGAGTTCTTCCACCATGGCTCATCAATTTTTAAGTTTATGGAATGGAATGGAACGGAACAGAATGGAATACTAACCAAATACTGTGAGTTCAAGGTCCTTTCTGGCTTTTCCTAGAGACAGAAATGGATTCAACCACGAAACTGTTGAGTGCATCAGAAGTTCCCCCATGGAAAGTTCTGTTACCTAGATTGTAAAGACAGGACGCAGACAAGATGTAGAAACCCCAGAGGTGGAGTTTTATGATAGACAACAAATTCTATCTATCCATCAGTCTGTGGAGGGACCCATCCATGAATCCATGTGTGTGTGCATGTATGTATGTATAGATAAGTTGTATATGTGCGTGTGTATACATACACACACACAAAGTCTTTGATAAAATGCAAGTACATTCTCTTTGGTTTTTACCACTCTTGTCAATGTGAGGCGTTAAATATGGAGGCTTCCTACATCTAAGCCAAGCATCCAGGTGTTGGAGAAGTAATAGGGAGCTGAGGGCCTTGCCCCGGGACACACTTGCCCAGGTGAGGCGTGCTCTTGAGCGACTTCCATTTCCATGACATTAATCCTAGCACTGTGTCCAGGCTTGCTGCAAGCCTTCAAGCTTGCCACCTCTAGCCCCAAACCACATGAAGCCTCCTAAGAACAAAGCACTAACTGCAGAGGGTCAGTATGAAAAATTAAACTCTGCTTCTTCCTGTTCTTGCCACATTTCTATTTAAACAATATTGTTTCTGGTGGATTTAAAAGCAGAAGATTCCAAATTTAGCCTGGTGCTGTAGCTCATATCTGTAATCTTAACTACTCAGGAAGTTGAGATCTGAAGATTCAAGTTCAAAGCCAGCCTGGACAGGAAAGCCCGTGAGACTCTTTACCTCCAAAAAGCTTAAAGTGGAGTTGTGGCTCAAGTGGAAGAAAGCCAGCCTTGAGCGCAAACGGGACAGTGCCCAGGCCCTGAGTTCAAACCAGTACTGGTACAGAAAAAAAAAGGGGGGGTGGGGGGGGGCTACTGAACAAAATAGAAAATATCCAAATTCCACTTGACTGGTTTAAGTGAGCAGGTGGGCACTAATATTTGATGTTAAAAATGCAAAAAGAAGAAGCCCTCGGCCTTCCGTGCAAGTCCGCTCCCCTGCGGCCCTGGCCAGCCCCGCCTTGCCTGAGTCCCAGCCTCTGGACTGGGATCCAAGTGAGACTCGCCCCCTCTGCCCAGGCCCGGGCCTCCCTCCCTCCCTCCCTCCCGGGCTCAGCCCCACACAGCACCTCCTTCTCTGTGCCGCTCTGCTCCGCGACCAGCTGGTCAAACACAGTCCCATAATCCTCGTAGATCTTCTGCATCTCATTGATGTGGCTGGCTACTTTCTCCATTGCCTTGAGTGCTTCTGTAAAACAGGAGAGCACATTTGTTCTACTTCTCCAACAGCAGGAACAAGAGCACTCGGGACTCGAGCCAGGACTGAACACCAGTTCTCACCAGCAGCAGCCAATCAATCCAGTCATTACCATGAATAACAGTTAAACATCTTCTACCTTAAAGCCTCTCTGTCGCTGACATTAGCATAAGCTAACATGAAGGCAGAACTACCTGCGTGGCCTGGACAGCAGCGGTGATTTGTGGCACCATCTCATCCTTGCCATAACTCAGTCACTGCCACCAAAGCCATTTCACAGCGGAGAAAAGCAGGGGAGGTGGAGCCAGAATCCAACCCAAGATGAGCTGGACATTGCACCCCCCCCCCACACACACACCTTGTTTTCCACCCCTCTCAGGACCCCGCACTAGAACCAGAATTACAGAAGCCTTTGATGTGCTAAGAGCCAGCGCGCCTGTTGCCATGCTTGTACTCTAACTGTGGACGAGGGCACATGACAGACAAAAGCAGCCAGCCGGCAAAAAGCCAGCGACGCAGGCCGTCTCCTAATTTAGTATATCCCTTGCTTTGACATTTTAGTTCATTCTGGGGAGAATTTGGAGGAAAAGTTCTTAATGCAAAATGAGCTCTTTATAGCATTTCAGTACTAATCACAATGCCTATCATTTTCTTACAGAATTCAACTACCTTCAATGTTTATGATACCAATGCATGTTTATCACGGAAAAAAATAGCAAGCTTAATTTACATACTTCTTGGTACTTATTACTCAGTGCTACTAAACTTCGTTAATCAATCTGTTTATCTCCCCAGGAGTTTCGTGGCAGGTGACTTAACTGGGCTTGCTCATTTTGATGTGGAGTATAAAATCCCTTTCTCTCTGGTCCCAGGGACACATCTCCTCCAAGGGATGCTCTGCTCTCAAGTGGCAGGCTGCATGCTTTTGGCAACAAAACTCAGGGAGTGAGTCATTTCCAAGGTTACAAATGAAGCACGTCTGCCTGCACTGACACGCTGGTGTCAACGTTGTGCGCTTTCAGAGATCTCCACAAGAGGGCGCCTCACCCGTCTTGGCCGGGAGCCATAAACCAGTGAACCTCCCCGGAGGTGGAGAGAGAGGCCTGATTTTCAGCTACAAGCCAAGCGGCCTGCACACAGATGGCCTCTTCGTGAAAGTTCAGGCGGGAACACTCGTGCAGAGGAGTTTAGTAAGATCTCACTGGAGAAACACAGAAGCCTCTCTGTGTGCTCCGAAGGCACGGCCGCATTGAGCCGTCACGGAGATGAGCATCACAGTGTGACAGACAGGACAGGACAGGACACTGGCTGGTCCTGGCGGCGCTGAGCAGCGAGCGGTCGGGGCAGAGCAGAGCCGCCCGCCCGCCTCACCTGTCAGGTGGTAGTGCTCCTCGCTCTCGTGGTCGGTCAGGGACACGAGCTCCTTGAGCAGCAGCGGGTACTTGAGCACGCGCTGCACCGGCTTGATGAGGTAGGACTCCAGCGTGGAGGAGTGCTGCTTGGTGGGGTTCCGGGCATCCAGAAAAGCCTTGAAGGCCTTGTCGGTTTTAGCTGCAAGCAATGGAGAAAAGATCCTTACAAGAATCAAACCACAGTGCTTTGTTCATTTTTTAATACGGATTGGGGCTTTTATTGTTTTGTTGTGGGTTTTTTTTGCCAGGCCTGGGCCTTCAACTCTGGGCCTAGGCACTGTCTCTTAAGTTCCTTTTTGCTCAAGGGTAGCCCCAGCGCCACTTCAGGCTCTTTCTGTGATTAATTAGAAGAGTCTTCCCTGCCTGGTCTGGCTTTGAACCACGATCCTCAGATCTCAGCCTCCTGAGTAGCTAGGATTACAGGCGTGAGCCACCAGTGCCCAGGTTACTGGAGTTTTATGTCATCATGTTTATGGACTTCCTAATGATGTCCTATAATAAAATTCCCGGCACAACAGTGGGTACCTGGTTATTAATGGGGGACCGGCTCGGAATCCTGTGAGGGAGGGATGCGGGGAGCACAGCGCCCACCCCAGGAGACCCAAGTCCCAGGGCAGCGCCTCACGCCACGCACACGTGGCCACAGTGCGCTTCACACAAATGGTAAAGCCAGCAATCAGTGCGATCCACACGCTGTGCATGCTCTACAGAGACCCCTCTAGGAAAGCGGCGTTGCTCCACTGGCCTAGCACTGCTGGTGCTTAGTCCATCTCTGCAGGGGTCTCCTTTGAGGATGCTGTAAGGTGTCACCTTTGCCTCCACAGCCTGCCAGACTGAACCTTCCGTCAGAGGGGTTATGACCCTGGCAGTGCCAAGGGCCCGCAGGCTTCAGGTGTGCGCAGGGGCATGTTGGACGTCCCATACCACGTGGGGACTCGGCAGCTGCCACTTTGAACCCCACAGCGCCACTGCTTGGCCAGAGGTGTGGATGAACAGAATGTGAAGGTGGGACCCCCCTTGTGGGGCTCTGTTCCAAGAACAAAGTGCACAGTGTGCAGCGAGGCAGCCCTGCCCGGCCCGGCCCTGCCCTGCCCTGCCCTGCCCGGCCCTGCCCTGCCCTGCCCGCGGCCGGACGCAGGGGGGCAGCTGTGGCACTGTGCCTCTCGACTGTAGGCCACCCATGAGAAGGTGTGTGGGGGAGGCGGACACAGTGGGCTGAGACCTCCGTTTAGAATGGATGGGGGGGGAAGCACTGGAGCCCCATGTTTCGAACCAGGGACTCCTGGGATGGCAAGGCAAAGCTGCATCGATGGGGACAGCGGGACACAGAGGTGGGAGGACCTCGCCATGCCTCCTTGAGGGACCAGAATGGGGGGGGGGGGCGCAGGGGGGAGGGGCGAGCATGGGCAGAGACGCTCACCAGGTCCACCGGGTCTCATCTGCCACCACAGTGCTGTTTGCAGATGGCTCAGAAGAGGGTTCACAAAACAACACCATGTGCGTCCCCGCGTGCCCAGGAAGGAGTGAGGTGACGAGAATCTGGTCACCAAAGGGCAGAGTGGCCCACGGCGCAATCACCTGAGGTGGCTCCCCCGCCTGAGTTAGCAATGCGTCCCCTTGGCTTCCGTCACTCCAAGTGAAAGATGGAGCCCACGAGAACCACACCTGCCCCCTGCCCCGCCCTGCTAAATACACTTATCCTTTACTTTTTTTTGTTTTTTTTTGTGGGGTTTTTTGGTCATGGGGCCTGAACTCTAGGCCGGGAAGCTGTCCCTCAGCTGTTCAGCTCAAGCCAGTGCTCTGCCACTTGAGCCACAGCGCCACTTCCAGCTTTTTCTGCTTATGTGGTGCTGAGGGATGGAACCCAGGGCCTCATGCATGCGAGGCAAGCGCTCTACCACTGAGCCTCCTTCCCAGGCCCAGTTATCCTTTATTAATGGTTCAAAGTTCAACAGCCATAAAAAGGTATGAACTCACCTCGCTCTAGAACCTTCTGAACTTTAATATGGTTAGCACAGAAGCCACTGTACAGTTTAAAGTGGTCGGCATAATAGAGGAAAGAGCCTCCCAGGGAAAACAGCAACTTCTAGAAGGAGAGGAGAGAGAGACATTGGACACGTCCCTCGGGACGCACTGGCTTCCGTGGTGTGACAGCCATGAACCACCCCGACATCAGCAGTGCGGCGCCCGGGCCCGAGCCGTGCACGCAGACGACGGCCCGCAGCCCCGCTGCCCCCGCAGCGGCCACGCCTTCAGACGCGGCACGCCATCGGAGCAGAAGACACTGCAGTAAGATCTCGGGTAACAGCCAGCTCCATCGATCAGGGCGAAGGCTGTGGACCACACGTCTACCCTCTTGTCTCTGGAGTGCTCCCGGTCCACCCTGGTGTCTAGCTGCCACCCACAAAGGAGAGAGTCCACCCGCCTCCCAGGTACAGGGCCGGCGCCCGCGCTGCAGAAGCAGCTGTGTCAGACTCCCTTCTGCAAGGGTGGCCGCAGAGGGCGCTGCCAGCTGCTGGCCCCAGGGATGCAGCCCCCCCCCATGCAGGGAGAAATGTGCCTTGACAGGACAGCACTGTCGCGGGGAGGGGGAGGGGGACCGTGTGGCCGTATCCGCCTCTTTGCTCTCATCAGAACCACTTACTCTAAACTGAGAGGGTGTTTCCAGAACATTGAAGTCTGAGGAGGCTGAGATGCCATCCTCCAGAGTCTCCAGAAAGACCTTCTGAAACTCCAGCATCTCGGGCAAGCTTCCGAAGAGTGACTCCATCTGAGAGAAGGGCAGGAGCGAAGCGTGTCACCAGGGAGCCAGGACCCGGGCCGCTCCCTGCGGGCCCGCCCGCACAAGAAGCATCTCTTCCCAAAGCGCAGCAAAGCGGAAGCACGTGCTGGGAAGGGGGGAGCGGGCGGGGGGGGGGGGCGGCGGCAGGGGTGTCTCACACAGCCCTTCCAAAGCTCCAGCCTATGTTTCCGTATTGCAACAGAAAACACTGACTTCTCTGTGTAATATTAAAAATGCCCGTGCTGAAAGGAACTTCAAGCCGTACTCCCTTCTAAAAAGCTTGCGCAGGCTCTGCCCTGCGCTTCGTATGGCAGAGGCCACGTGGCTGGGACTTTCTAGGCCGGCGCTCTGCCTGCTGCTGTGTGGCCCCTGGCCCGGACTTTGAGTGTCCAGCATGGCACGGGCCGTGGAGGGCCGGTGCACCGCTCCAGGCAGCCTCAGGCAGACGCGGTCGTGTACCTCATCCTGGGTAAGGAAAGTCTCATTCTGAAGCGGCTCCAAGTATAACTCGAAGAGGCAGCTCAAATCCTGCAAGGCAAAAGAGTGTGGTTAACACTCAGCTCCCCGAAATACCCGCCTGTCATTCCAGAGCCCCGGCGGCGGCTCCGAGAATGGCCGCCAGGAGCCGTGATGTGTCTCGTTGGCATGCTTGCCCCTCACGGTGGAGCCTCTTGCTTCCTACAGCGAAGTTCACCCAGTTCACAGATGCACGAGGTTCCCCTGCCGCGCGCCGGCTGGCTGGGCTGATCGTGGCTGACACAGCGGGTCCTCCAGACCGCTGCCTCCACAGCCCTCTGCGCGCAGGGGAGGGGTCCGCTCGGGTTACCACGGCCACCCACCCGTGTCCCGGCCTCCTCCGTAGCACTGGACACTCAGGTGTGGTGTAAGGGGGCGGGGGGACCCCTGGGACGCTTCCACTCCAGGCTGACACAGCACAGAAGGGGAAGGGAAAGCAAGGCCAGCTCCTCCTATTGGCTGTGGCCGCTCTACAGCTCCACCATTTCAGAGCCTAGAAAAGAGGCTGCGGCAGCCGGGAATGCTGGGAGCCGGCAGTGCTGAGAAAACACCAGTGAAGATGCTTAGTGAGGGAAGAATTCCCTTGCATGTGTCACATGTTCTGAAGAAATACTAGACACACTCGACCACCAGCTCTGCTCGGATGATCTGCACAGCCCAGTGAAGCCCAGCGCCCTCAGAGCCCTCCTACGTGTTCTGAGAACAAGCCCTGGCCTGTGTCGGGGTCTCCCCCCAACACCCCCTCCTGCCTCCCCATGTCCCTTCTGAGCTGGGGCGGGGCCCAGAGATGTCAATCAGCTCTCAGGAGCAAGCGGGATCAGGTTTGTGCAGCAGGAGCACAAGGACAATTCTGTGTTGAGTGTCAGCGACAGAAACCACCCGTCTGTGAGGGGGTGCGGCGGGGTGGGCGCGGTGAGCTGGGGTGCTGGGGTGCTGGGTCCTCGTCACTCCTGCCCAGCCCCTCAGAGGATGATTGCACAGCACGAGTGGGTGGCACCGAGCCGGGGCTGCGCACAGCCCAAACGATAACAGAGGCCAGCTGCGTGTCTACTGGACACACGCCTCGCTGACATGGCTGCAGCCGGAAGGCAGAGGCCACGAGCCCGGCGGCCCCCTCCCCTCCCCTCCCCTCGCCTCGCCAGGCCTGCGCGGGACGAGGTGTGAGCTTCTCTTCCCCCCAGACTAAAAGGAGGGGCTGGCGAGCAAGACCGCTGCTAGCGCAGGACGCAGGGCCGGGGCTGGGGGACGTGCAGGCCACGCTGCTCCGCGCCTTCGCCAGCGCTGCGTCCTGTGTCCCTGACGAGCTCCCGACCCGCAGGCCGGCGGCCGG